GATTTAGAATCTTTCACTTATTCTAGTCAATGGTTTTGGCAAGTATTTCATAAATTAGTTGACAATGATAAAAAGAAATTTCTTCGTAAGTATATACGAATTCATTTTCTAACATTTACTATAGAGAAAACAAATTACCAATGATATATGCATACATCGAACCTGAATTCGGATTCATCTTCGGAAAGGATTCAATCAGTTCTAGCAATATCGAGTACTTAGGAGATTGCCTAAGCATGTCTTGAACTAACAACATGAGCATCTATTGAAGCATTCTAAGGTTCGACCAAGTTCGAGTTTAGATATTTCTGAATACCATTGACTTGTAATCCTTCGATTTTTGGATTATTCATGCTACTCTATGTAGATCTACCATATCAAACTCTAAAAATTCTTTTATTAACCAATTGAAAATGCCTGAAGTTAAAGCCAAATTATTTGATTTAGGTTCCGAGTACATAATTACTGTCTGATGCAGACTAGAATTTACCAATAGAACTTTTTTCGACTGAAGTTTATTAAATATTTTCACATGTAACTCTAATCAAATCTTTTGAAATGAAGAGCAGTATTGTAAAAGTGGCATTCAGACATTATACATTTAAAGAAAGTATTGAAACTTTTGTTTTTAATCATTTTGATCTTAAGAGAAAAGTCTTCTAAGTGTCAAATCGCATTTCAATAGAGACTACTCTATAGAAAAACAAAATGTCATACTGAACCTTTTAATATCCTAACATTATCTGATTCTGTTTCGAACCATTTTTTTTTTCGTCTCAAAAAACGGTACCACTCGAAGAAAAAACCATTCCATTGAACATATTCAGTCGAATCTTGTTGGCATGATTGACTGTTACGATAGCTCGAAACAAATCTTTAAGACCTTGTTGATAATTATTGTAGCCACTTAGATTTATTTCAGGTTGGAGAATATGAGTACGATGAGGTTGAGACGGTACCCTTTGTTTTTGGATTCTTGTCTCTCGTTCTGTGCGCATCTTTTATATACTCGTCTAATTATGATTTTGTTTTATTTTCTTTTAGTATTTCTAACTGGATCCGATCGTGTACCAGTTTTTGGATGGAGTCAAACCCTAGTAAGAAAGTTATTTTTTAATTTAATGGTATATATATATATATTTGATAATATTAATTATAGCCAATGACAATACAAAGAAGTCATACCGATGATATACATTTACCTGTTAGTCATACATGTTTTAATATCCTTGATTTACCATCATATTCATCAAAAGAAATTCTGAAAGCTAAATTATCTGAAGCTATTCAACATAATCAAGGTTTCAATCTCGTTTAAATCAATATTTTTATAACAACAAATTTGTATCTATTTCCTCACTCATAATAGACGATCAAGCATTTTTTTTAATTTTTTATGCTTTTTTTCTCGGAGTGATTCCTTTCCTTTAGTATACCTTTATTTGACCATACATCAGAACAGAATTTCTTTTGTGATAAATTCTTCTATAACAACTAATTCTATTTTTTATTTCTCTATTTTTTTCTTGTTTTTTTGTAAAAGAAAAAACTTTCTCTTCTGTTATATATTTGAGAAAAAAATCTCTAATAATGTTTTAAAACAAAAATTTTATTGTACGTATAAATAAAAATATAATTATAGTTTTATTTTTAAAAAAATTCACATTTTTAATGTTTGCAGTTTATAAACAAAAATATTCAAGATGCTTAGTAGAATTAATCGTTTGATTGAAAGTCTAAATTTAAAATAGAACAAAAAAAAATTAAATAATTCTTATAGACAACTAATAAATAAATTTTGTTCTCAAAAAAAAAAAACATATTTGGACATGAGGGGTGGATCTAAAATACAGTAAAATCTTCCTATAATGGATCACATTTAGACTTTTCAAAAGTTTTTACTATAGGAAGTATTTTCAGAAGGTAAGTCTTTTGTTTTCTGAATAAAATAAGCACGTTCTTCGAAATATCTGTAGAACAATAATAATGTATCGGATAACGGTCTTGAGCACTTAATCAATTCTCGTCCAGTGTTTTTATTGATGAAAACAACGTGAGAAGTTTGATACAGATCTGTTTTGAATATGTTAATTAATTTTTATTGAAGATCGGAGATAAGAATATGTCGTTAAGGTTGTTGAATGGAAGAAAAAAGGCCTATTGTCAGAATGATATCAAAAGTTAAGCTAATGAATACAGAAACAGTGTCATTGGGGAATGTGGACAATCACAGCAATCTCATTCGTAATACGTTTAGAAAAGGAGATCATTTTTTAGTTCTTCAGTAATAAACGATTATGACCTGAAATTCGAGTAAATGTATCATCCATACTGTTGAGCAAAATAATGATTTTTTTTCTCTCTTTGTTTCTTTTGTCTTTTTCAGAACTCATGATTCCATTATGGAATGACTAATTAATCAGTCTAGTCTATCTTCTCGAAACATAAAGCGAATGAGATCAATATAATCGTCCTTGTTATAATAAAACTGGCTCTATACTAATTGCGTAAATTTCTTTCTTTACATTTAGAAAACTGCGCACAAAAAAAATAAATAAATAAAGGGTTCTCATTGTTTTCAATAATTCAGACAAAATTAAAAGGCTTTTCTCTAGAGATATTGTCTTTTCTTTCCGTCAACTTGAATCAACCCTCATAAATTGTTGATTAGTAATTCATTAATTGAAAATAGGAGTGAACTAGTCGATGTAAACGAGTTCAACAACTGTTAATTACGGATGAATAATTCAAACCATTATATTCAAACAATTAAGAATGCTGTATATTTTACAACGGTGTTCATTATAGGAGGTATTACTGTAATTATACTTACAGTATTTTTACGCTTTCTTCTCTTCAATATACTTGATTAAGCTAATTTTTTAGCAAAAGATTGAATTTCCTACAGAAAAAAAAAAGTTTTTAAATTAATACCGACGGAATTAAGATGTAAAACATGATAGATTCATTTCATTCGTAAACCAAAGTCTTACTCACGCCGATCGTAGAATCTTTTTGAATTGAATCGACTGACATATTCTATCGGTCTTTCAAAGTTTGTGATAAACAGATGTTCAAGTTTCTCACTGTGTACTTCAAGATTCATTCTCAATCATTTTTCACCAAAAAAAATTTATTAACTATTTAATTGTATAATCTAAAAGTGAAAGCGATATGAAAGATTGTGTAGCATATTAAAATATAGAACAAAATATAAACATAATTTAAAAAAAAATGACTAGATTTTTCGTATAGTCTTTCAAACAATAGAGTGTAGTTACAAAAAAGTTTATTTTTGGTTTAAAAGACTCGCTTCATTGTTCTGTATAGTGAAAATAGTTTTAATCTAAAATATCAAGTACAATCAATGAATTTTTAGCGATTGAACGAAAACATCAAATTTGATATTTGTTTTTGCCTTAATTGAAAAAAATAACTTTGCTGTTTTTTTTCAAATCTAAAGAATTGAATCATAATGTTTACTTAATAAAGTAAGTAGTAGTAAAACTACAACTTATACGAATAATCTTGAATCAAGTTTACTCTTTTACCCCGTCAAATAAAATTGTTAAATTTTTGAAAATTATGCATTAAAAAAAGTCTTTATTAAAACTTAAAAGATGTCTCTTTTAGTTTTGATTTACGCAAATATTTAGTAAAAAGTATCGATAAGAATTGTTCTTTTCTGACTTAGCATTTTTACTCGTATTGCTATTATTTACAATCTTTCATATAATTTTTCATCTTCAGATTGTGCAATAGAATAATCAATAAGATTTTGTTTTTTTTTTGAAAAAATTCATTATTGAAGATATTAATGAAAAATATTATCTAATCAAATGTATTGCAGAGAAGAAAAAATAAAAATAGTGTTAGTATAATTATATCTAGATCATCTATTAGATATGAATACATCAAATACTATTGTGATAATGAATTGGCTTTGTTCACAGACTTTATAAGTCATAGAAATAAATAAATACGCATAAATTCTTTCGACAATTTCAGATTAGATAATATATAAAGATTAAATATTATTTTAATGATGGAAAAGAGTTGACGAACTTTATCAAATAGTTATGTGTTTTATGACATTTTATTGCTTTACAGATATGAATGTCACAACTGCTAAAGAGTATAGTTTATATAATCCAACGGGTAAAAATGTATGATATACACAGTTCGTAATAATATTTTTCCACAGAATAATATGCTATACTTTCAGATAACATAAACAATATACTTCATACTAAATTCAATAATGATAGAAGGTGTAGGTTAATAGAACACTTCACGCACATTCATAGATGCAATGAAATATTTAGATGATTTGTCTTTTCTAGTTATGAAACGAAAGAAAAAAAAAATGATATGTTTATAAATATTTTCTTTATGTATTGATTGATCTGTGTACGATCTCTATTAAGCTATTAGAATTATACTACAAATAAAAAGTGTACTTTGTTGGTCAATATTGTCTAGAGAATTTTTCGACTTGTTCCTACTTTAATATTTTTTCTTTTTCGATATATCTTCTACGATATTTTCAGTTTTGACCAAACTACGATCAATCTAATTGGATATTTGTATGTATAGTTGATTATAAACACTAATGATTCTCAGAACAATTTTCTGACTATCTACTGTACATTAGAGTGTAATCTACAGTTTGTCTTATGTCGAATGCAGATAGATTACGAATCATAGGTATGAAGAATTATTATTTCAATAGGAAAAAAGATCAAACCAACTGTGATCTGAAAATAACAATACGTAGCAAACTTAATTTTTAAGTTTTTATGTCTTGAAAAACATTCTGTTATGTCTAGATGATCCATAAATTTTCAGATTTTGTTCCATCCTCAATCGTCATAATTATTATTCATTTGTACAGATATATTTTGATTTTAATAAGCTGTAATTTTGGTATAAAACCTATTGTTTATAGTATCTAAAAATACAGAACTATCCTTAGGAAAAATATTATTATACATCCTATATTAATAAGAAAGTAACCTTTGTTGTTTATTCTTAGAAAGTATTTGTTGTTCTAGATGAAAACAATCTTTTACTCGAACAAGTCTTTTATAATTCAAAGAAATCTTACTTCTATAACGATCATCTTCATCTATTGTATATGCATGTTGATATTTTTTCTTTTTTAATGAAGTTTTAGTCATTGTTAATCCTGATCTAGTTTCTGTTACACTAACAATACAATGATTCATTGGAAAATTTGATGATGCATTCGAATATAAAGCACGTCGATGTAAATCTAAAAGACTTCGTCTAACAATTGTTGGAATTCGTTTTAGATTTAAATATTGTTGTGATGGTATTGATTGATTAGGCTTTGTTTCAATACTTATTCGATGATCTTTATGACGTGAAAGATTTAATGAACTAGTACTTCTTCCTAATTCAATTATACTTGGTGAAAAAATTTGTTCTGATATAGATGATTTCTTATGTAAACAAGTTTCACTTGGATAACGTATATGAATTGTTGTACGAGGTGATGCATCAATAGTTGGTTCTGATGTAGCACGAAATAGATGAACAGGCGATGGTTTTGTTGATTGTGTCGAATTAGGTGGATAATGTTCATGAAGTTTAGATGGACTAAAATTTGTTTTTGTACGTGTATAATAATTAGGAAGTATTGATGGTGGATTACATATTCGTTCTAATTTTCGTGCTAAATTTATAACAGCAAATAACCATAAACCAATTATTATTAAAACGAGAAAACTTTCCGAAAGACTCATTCGATAAATACTTTCTTCCATTGGACCTAAAACTAAAATAAGAGTATTCAATTATATTTTTCTTAAGTCGAGTAGAGAATTTTTCTATCTATGCGTTGGAAGCAAGGGAAGACACTTGACCTTTTCTAGATCAATAGTACTCTAATGACAGCTTTACACAAAAAGAAATACATAGATTAATTGATTCATAAGAAGTCGTGAGCCAACAATTTTATTCTTTATGTGACATAAAAGATAACAATTAATCATGAAACAAAAATGAATACTTATTACATGAAGTGTCCCTCCATTTTGACTGATATATGTCCAAACAATACAAAGATCACTTCTGAGATTAAATTCAGCATAAATCTTACGTACGTAAATGTTGAAATTTATAGTTTCGAACACAGAATGTCACTTTATTCGCAAAATGTCCTCATAAACACATACATATAAATATATACACGGAAACCCCTGAGGTTCTACAAAATACGATACTACTATTTACATTATAAAAAAAGAGAAAACAGAATTGGTTATTTTCAAGAGTCTACCCAATATACCATAAGCAAAAAAAATATGTCAATTTATTTTCCTTCTGATTACTTACCCCAACATTTCGAATATGTATATACATATCTTATCTTTAGAATGATATGTATTTGTATTGAAACGCTTCGAAAAGAATATTCAATTATATCCTATAGATCTTTTCTTCGCTGAATATAAATGACAGTTCTGACATAGTATTTATTATCGTTAATTGTATTTTCTTCTCTCTAGAAAGATAGTCTCTTGCGCAAATTCTATATATTTATTAATGCTATTAAAAAAAAACTGTAATGAATCATCTGGATCAACATTTTTATGGCTAATCACAATGTTCAGTCTTTCTTTCATTTTTTCTATTCTTTGTATTCATGAATAAATGACATTGATTGATGTTTACTATTGATGTTATTTAGTTAAAAACAATTGATGTTAGCAATATCATGCAATTTCTATTATGCATATGTCAAACGACGAAGACTTTTCTATGACAGACGAAAGTTATTATCAAATCATGTGATTGACAACATCATAAAAAACAAACAGATGATAATGTTCGACTATTGATGAATATAATCATCAGGTTTTTGTTTTGTTTTATGAAAAAGCAAGAACTATATATATATATAAATAGTCCGTAATTACATATATGAAATAACTTTCTCGCTATTGAGCATCTAAAAGTGTCTTTCTTGTTGTTGTTATGAGATGAACTTGGTTGGAAAGATTTAATTGTAGAATCGAAACAAAAAAGAAAGAGGAAATATGTTAAGTAAGCTACTTTTTAGAATGAATGCACATCAAACATTGAGAGTTCATAGTGGATGACGATGAGATAAAAATTATCGAAGTTTTCTCATCCTTTTTCGATAATATAAACTTTCCTGAATAATTTTCTGATGAAAAATTATGAAATCTCTTGATAATTTTGACTTTGTTGTACAAGTCATATCTTGTTTTGTTGATAAATAGTTGGTATAGATCTTCAAATTACTATGCTGATCTTATCGAATGAGATTAATATTGATTTTAATGAATAATACAAACGTTTTTGGGAAAATGTCGCCTCGTTTTTCATCGGACAAAATATGTTGAGAAGTAATCAATAATACTAATTCACAATCTATGCTGAAAGCCCTTTTTAACTGTATATTCAAAAAAGTGTTTACTTTTTTTTATTTCAAAATATGATGTACCGCTAGTTTTTGTCAAAGATTACAAAAAAAAAGCTCAAATTAAAATAATCACGAAAAAACTCAGGATTTTAGTACATTTGTTTGAACGAAGGAAGATAAAAATACGTAGGCTACTCAAAAAATATTGAGTATGTATAAAAAAGTTTTTAGTCCCATGGGATGCATTGTCACTGAAAAACAGGCGAATAAGGGAAATCCTGTCTAATCGTTGTGAATTCAATATCTCATAGCGGAAAGTATCCATGAATTGTTTAGTCTATGACAACGTTTGTTCTACACATCGAGAGCTATCTGCCCTAAGGGCTTCAAATTTTCTTATGGGCTATCCTTCAAAAGTACCGAAACGGGAAGGGAAGGATATTTTTAACTGAACGTTAGATGGCATTTATATATATGGTATTTTTTGCATAGTTACAAATAGAAACATTAGATAGATTGAATTGGAATAATTTCTAGCATGATTTTATTGAAAAAAGAATGAATAAAAAAAAGCATTTTTATTGACCGTGAATAGTAGTTTCATATACTTATAATGTTAAATTTGCTTTGAAGATTGAATATAAATATTTGTTTCTGTTGATTATATTTAAAAAAGAGTGAATAGCACAGTGGCATTGTTACATCAGTTTAGACCTATAGAAATGAATGAATGAATGCAAAACTATCTCTTTAATAAAAGCAAAGAAATTCCTAATCTTCTATACGATTTTTGGACAAAAAAAAAAGATTTTGACCTTCGTCTAGATTAGAATCAATTCACCACCAACGTTTTAGAGGCAACTCTTTTTTTATGTTTTTATCACTCTACTTGTTGGTAAAGGATAGAAATACATCCAATTTATGTTGTATAAAAAAATCCTTTCGACAACCAATGAAATTCATTTTCACAACTATTTCAACAATAAATAAATATTTCTGAATTTCAAAGGTTTATGTTCTAAAATAGATAAGAATTTCATAATGTTAAATCTAAACAACTTCAATTTAATTGTTGCATCAAAAATATTTTGAATACTTTTCGCTGTCTTCAACAAGAAAAATAATCCAAATAATGATTTGAGTACAGCAAACTATACATAAGAAGTATGTAAGAAAAAAATGATTACCAGATTTCTAAAGATGAAATCTCCAGAAAACGATATTGAGTCGATACTATCCAGATTATGTGGCGGGGTTCCGGAATTTCGCGAAAAAGACTTTCACCATTGGAGAAAGTCCACTGTACTTTCGCCAATACATTCGGTGGAGCTTCGCCAATTGGTGAAAGTCCACTGTACTTTTGCCAATATACCCCTGGACTGTCGCCACTCGGCGAAAGTACAGTGAGCTTTCAGCAATTTCATTGTAAATTAGATGTAGACTAAAAAAATTTTTCTCACCTACATCGGTAAGTGTCAACTATGATATATAATCCTAGTAACATTAACTTCAGCGCTGACATATATCCTTTATTAATATTGTTGTAACCACTGAGATAGCCCATCTCACTTTCGCCAATTGGCGAAAGTCCACTGTACTTTCGCCATTGGCGACTGTCTTATTGGCAAACATCCAGCCACCCCATGTGGCTTATGATTAACTATGAATACAATGCATTATTATGGTATTTTATAACAAATGGCGGAATCTCTCTCAGAGACACTAGAAAAATGATTTTCGACTTTTCACTTGAAACTTTGCACAGAGACAGATCATTGTGAAGATGTCATACTTTTTCGTGATCCTTATCGTAAAACACGGTTACGATAAACGCATGCCTTATACATTGTTCATATACACCGCACAGTTGATGTTCTTACTTTAGAACAAGAAAAAATCAAAAGATTTGAACTTTCATAATAAACTATTCTCATTAAGATCTGTCTCTGTGTAAAATTTCAAATCGAAATTTGAACATCATTTTCGCTGGTGTTTCTGAGAGAAACGACGACATCAAGTGAAAAAATACTTTTTCTGAGTATTCTTAACTAATTAAAGCTTCATAATTTCGGCTCAAAAATGATTAATTAATTGAAAATTTCTCTCTTGAGATATAACAGTCTGATAGAAGGTGCAACATCGCATCCATCATAGAAAATACAAAAACTGATTCACGAGCTTCCCCAAGATTGCTATATCTCAGAAGAAACAAATCATAGAAAACTCGAAGACATCGTACTTTCCACATAATTATTTTCACTATCGTTTTGTATAGTCTAAACGAAATTATATTTGCACTTTCTAGTTGTTAAAGACACTAAGAATTCAGTTTACTTCAGATCCCAGTCTTGAGAATCAGGTATTTATTTATTTTGTCCTTCTATTGTTTTTTCTACTCGTTTTACTATTTGGATGTTTTATTGTTGAAGACACAAAAAAAATCTTATTGAAAAACGTTGATCGCTACAGTACATAAAAAAAAAAAAACCTATTAAACAATGCATTTCGTCATTCAATTTTCTTTCGTTCTATATGTATTTTCAATCTACTACCTCCATTATGTAAAGTGCATATATAACTTACCTTGTCCAATATTTGTGGCTTTGTTTGATTGGTTTAATTAATAAGATATATATCCTCTCGATGAAATATCATCATTCCATCAAAACGAAATAACTTGATATTTCTTTGTTAGAACAAATGGCTTCACTTGCTTTACATTTATTAACTCTTTTACTTGGAACTCTATTTATTTTTTTGGGTCATGTTAAATTAACACCACAATTTTTTCCTGAATATCATTCATATATGAAAAATGAATTTGGAAAATTTAATAAAGAGTTTCCATTTCATCGTCAAACGGGTTGGCGTCCATATGCAAGAAATTTTCGTTTAACAATTGGTGTAACTGAAGTTGCATGTGGATTTTTATTACTTATCGGTAAAAAAAAATTTTCGTTATTAATTGTAGTTTTTTCTTATGAATAAATTTTAGGTTTTTTACAAACATTATCAAATATTATTTTAATGGTGATAATGACAATTGCAATAATTACATTTCAAACATTAAATTATCCCATGGAATATATGGGTGTATTGATTTGTATATCATTTTTACTTTTATTACGATTTGTTTTAGCATCAAGATCAAAAGTTAAACAAGAAATTAAATCAATTCAGACAAAAGTTGAAAACAAAGCGGAATAAATTCAACTATCTAGAAGATTAAAGATTTTATATCTTTTGTTTTTTATCGCATTTTTTCTTTGTTGTTGTTGTTGTTTTTTTCTTATATTTGATGTTTGCTTTTATATACGAACAACAAAAAACCAGAGGCAGTAGAATCAAATGTTAAGAAATTTATTCATTTTGATTAGTAGATTCTTTTTGTTTATGATAATAAAACTTGACGAGGATTTTGATTAGATTTATTACTATGATCATTTTACAAAATTCAATTAAATGTCGATAGAGTCACACTGAATATTGTGATAATAAGTTCTTAAGACAGTTTTGTGTATATGTATAATATGAACTGTTTATTTCTGCGTGTGTGTGTGTGTGCATTAAAATCAAATAATTCAACCATTTACTTTCGAGTTAATTTTTCTATCATCGGTAATTAGTTAGTAGCAATCATATTCCAGTGGTCTTTATGCATTGTCTTATTCAAAATATTGACTGAGAGTAATAAGGAATAATGTGATTTTTTTTTCTTGACAAAGATTATAATTTATAAAAATCTTATATTCAACAGCTCTTTGTCAACTAAACCATGGTCAAACTGAATATATAACAATTTGTTTTATGTTTTTTTTTCATTTATTGATTAAAAAATAAAAGAACTTTATTATGAATAAAAGCAAATAACTATTTTAAGTTTATCTAAGTCATATTCGATTTCATTATATTTTTATGTGGAAAAATATTAATCACGTATGTGTGTTATTGTTAGGAAAACATAATTGTGAGCAATTTTTTTTTAGCATAAATCACATGTTTAATAAAAAATGATGACTTTGTTAAGATATTTAGAGCAGAAATCTTTATTTATTTTCGATGGATGATTTTTTTTTTGATTGATTTTTTATATTTGTAAGTCTCGTGATGATGCAGTTCTTTATGATTATATGTTTATTCATGCGTTACGTGTTGTTTTTTTCTTGTGTATCTTTTCATGCAGCTGCTTACATAGGACAAAAAAGATATAAACTAATATTTTATGCACTGAAAAAAAAAACAAAGCACATAGAGCATGTTGAAATTAACTAAACTATTGTCAAAAGTAAATTGCGTGTCATTGATTGATATTGTTTAACTGAGTCTTTGAATATCAGGGAAAATTTTTGACAACAAAATTCACTTACAGATAGAGATATACGGAACCAACTTTAGTCTCAATCCCAGAAGCTGATGTTGAATCAGATTTAACGATACTAGGACTAGGACCATTGAAAAAGGAGTTACTGAAGTGTAATTGAGAATGGGACTAAAACACTTCGTCCTGCTTATCTCGACTAATACATATCGAAATTCTATGTCATTTAGTTCGGTTTTATATCTGTATCTGTATGTATTCTCTTATTTTCATTTATTAAAGCTAACAGAACGTTTTTTCAGCGACTTTTTCTGAGTTAGATGAATGACAGTTACGTAACGAGCAGTATGATAAACTCCTCTAAGAATTCATTCAGATTCTTTATATATAATTGCTATATGAGATCATCACGATCCTTTGTTCGATTACTAAATGAAAAACGAAGACGTAAATAATACTTCGAATCTATGCCATATAATGCATAGTACAAATTTTGAAAAATTCCTTTGAACAATGAATCAAGCAAAAAATAAATTACTAATTATTGATAGCGAATAAAGGCAATCACATCATTTACAGAGGGTAAACTGTAGCTGGTTTAAAATTAGAGGAAAAGGCAGATATATAATACTGAAATATTATATTAAACTATACCAGCAAATAATTTCTCTATATTAAGCTTGTCATCGTGACTTACGTGATTATTAATAAATTACGATTAATACAGATTCATTTGCATACGGGTCGTTATTGGAAACTATATACTTCCATAGTGTGCTGTGACATTATATTGAAGGGTAAGAAGCTTTCAATTTAATAAGCGACAATTATATTACAGGATACTCTTCGACTTATTTGTCGGTCATTGAATTCCAAACACTAATAGAAACCTTCAGAATTATTTTGATGATCATCGATATCTATAAATCTTCCAATGCCAACGAATGAGCGATCGACATATCAGAGCTATTATTTATTCTTGCCGAAAAAAGTATGTTATCAACTCTCTAATGAAAGAACCATTAGAACTGAAATTCACCATTTGAGCTTATATTAGACTCACAAGGACAAGAGTCGTTGGTTTCTAAAAGAATTCGTCATTATGTATCTTTGAGGTTAATTTTATGATTGTTTTACTGAAAAACTAAAAACAAATTTTCGACGTAAAATTTTGTTCATCAATAGATCCAATGGCTCGTAGAATATTCTGAAAGTTTCAACCGAAAAGGATGTTCCTTTGTCGAGATATTGAATTTTCAAAAGGTGATCGCTTGCCACAAGCATGTTACACAGACCAAGTTTACTTGAAAACTCAATATTTTGACAAAAGAGCAGTCTTTGTAGCTGAAACTTTTAGGATATTTTGCGGGTCATTATATCGAAATGTTGTTGTTTGAGTTTTCAGTAATAAAACGATCATAAATCGGGTCACGAGAACAAATCCTTTTAGGCACCTGTTAGACTGTATGTGTCAACATGCGCTAGAAGAAATGTTTTTAACTGGGAAATTCGAATGAAGAAATGTTTCTCTTATGGCAATAAGTTTTGCGCACAGCTACTCTTATTTAAATCCATAATTTATTATTTTTTGCAATGCGAACTGCTCCTATTAATTGATAGCTAATAAAAATAAGCTTTTATCAGACCTTTTTCTGTGTTAATTCAGTTTCTCATTCGCTTTCTTCAAATGTGCGAGGAAAGAACAGAATTCAGCTTTTTCTTTATTATAATGGGCGTGGGTTCTAGTCTTCTCTTCGCCTACACTCCACATCCACCAGGATGACATAACTTTTTTCAATATTTTTCTAGTTTTGACATTTTTCATCTTCTGCATTTATCCAGCCAATATTTTTTCTTTCGATTTGTCTACAGTTCACTTATATTTTTCGTTTTCAAAATAAGCAAAATTCTATGCGGCCAATGCTCGATGCTGCGGACGATATAATTTATTCGTACACGATGAATTTCTTTTTTTTTTTATTTTATCAGTTAATAAATCATAATTTTTAACTTTCTCCAATTGCATATTATTGATAATAGCATTCCACACGTAATAGTCCAGAAGATTGAGATCAATACTATTTGGTGGCCATCTGTGATTGTCTATAAAATGCATGAGATTTTCTTTCACACCATACCAATAATTTCTTATCTTTATGGAGTGTGCTGTTGTCTTAATGACAGATGAAATCGTCATCAAGGAGCTGTTTGCTTTCAGATTGTACTTGCGGAAGTACAACTTCAAAATAATTTTCACGCGATAATGCTTTACCATATTTAAATATAATGGAAAATGTAAGATCATTTTGAGATGCATATAATCACGCCATAATTCTTTTTTGGATACTTAGCCTTTTGGTTTATAACTCATTGTTTGTCTGTTTTTTGTCGTCTTGCAGCATAAACACATTTTAATGAGAGATATTTATCATCAATGAATAGTATTATTCTTCATCGATGAGATAAAAAGCAAACGGATTGTGTACGAAATAGTGTTCGCACAAAACTTTGCTTATTTTGAAAATAAAAGGTACACTATTGAAACAAGCTTAACTTTTTAAATTGTAGAGCTTTTCACACTACGCCGTATGATACATTCAGTTTTTTTTTCTTTAATAAAACGTATTTAGAGATTAAAATACGCAATACAAAGTATGATGATTTATTATGAGCCATCCGTTATATTCCAAGCTATTATATAGATCTAAACATACGAATGATTATCTTCTGATAATATCGAAAACCTTACAAATATTGTAGTCGATGAAGATCCAAGATAAGATCGTTATTAAGTTATTGAGAAAAGGTTTATGCAATAACAATGTTTTATTGGACAGAGCATCTTAGAAAAACATTTTTAGAATATAGTGAAAGGTCCACATATATCATTTTCTATTATGCATACAGTCGGGAAGATTTCATACTGTTCTTGAATTTCTTATTTATTATCAAAATTAAATTTGTAATCAGATCCATAAATTTCCTTCATTTATCATTCTAAAAGCATTTTTTTGTCTGTACTAAGATAAAATTTAGCTGGACTAGCAACTTTTATTAAAAAGTCCGAATTAATAATGTGTGAATTAGCGGATTAATTATTTTGTTCAATGAAATTTTTTTATACGTAGTTAGGTGAATGGATAAAAAATAAATGCTTGGGTTAAAAGATGAATAAAACAAAGAAGAAAAAGAAACAAGCAATCCTAGCCTATCTAGGTAATGTTCATACAAATTTATGAAAAGAAAAAGATTGATTGCTTTGTTTAATCATATTCACTACGATGCATAGATCGTGAACGAATTAATGTTGTTGTAACGACTTCAGCACGCTGTTCAGCATCGTCAAGTTCTCGTTCAAGACGACGAGCACGTGTTAATACTAAAAAACAATCAAATAGTTTATTTAAATTAATCAAAATAAAAAGAAAATGAAAAAATAAAGATCGAATAACCTTGTGCAGCTGACGATTCAGCACTATCAATTTGTGATTTATAAATACGCATTCTATCATTAGTTTTGCCAATTGTATCTGTAAGTGAAAGAACTTTAGTTTGTTCTTCATCAACTTGACTTAATAATTCTTTAACACGTCTTTCATTACGACGTAAGTCTTTAAGAAGTTCTTGATAACGAGCACGTTCTAAATCAATTTCGGTTTCGAGTTGTGCAAGCTAAACAAAAGTAAAAAACAATACGAATGGAAAATTATTTGAAATAAATAAATAAATTTAAACTTACTCGGCCTTCATATTTAGCAGCAATACGTTTTCCTTCAGCTCGAGCATAAGCTTCAGCTTCATCAATCTTAGAACTACAATCACGTAACTGTTGATCTAATGCTCGTTTAGATGCTTCTGATTCAGCTGTCTTCTCACGTTCATGACGGATTTCTTCATCACGAAGAATTAATTCAGAAGCTAATTTGCGGGCCTAAGATTAAAATTTATCATATAAAATACATTTTCAAAAAAAAAAAAAAAAAAAAAAAAACAAAATTCGAAAAATTGATATTCACACTGTCGAAAATCGGATAGATATTTTCTAAGCTCTATATGAATTATTCATAGTAGAAATACTCTATGAGAGGAAATGGATTATATAAGATATGACATTTAAGTTCTTAAAAATACATTCTTTAATTTCTTATATAAACGCTCTACCTGTCAGGAAGGAAAAATTATCTAAACTTGTATTTTTTAGTTTCATAGTTTGATCAACAAAAGAGCATAATGCACCTTAATTGTAATCATTAATCAGAACTTGATCAGCTTTCATGCAGAAAATTTAGAAGATTAATATAAATTTTTTTTTCTTCAGGTCAGGATATTTCAGCGTAGGAAGTAAATCTTGAGACTTCAAAGTCTTCTTTGAAAAGCTCAATATTATTTCTATGATCAATAAAAATTTATATCAAACGATTTTAATTTGACTGATTTATGAAAGAATTTTTGGATAGTCTTAACATAAGACTTAATGAAAAGGCTTCTTAATGGATAAGGATTACTGTGAATTGGAGCACTCCATTAGTAGCACAATATCGACATGATGAACTTTATTTGTTAATAAAACAAAAGTGAATGTTAACACATCAAGATAGTAGATAATCAGAGAAGTGTTAAAATCTTTGTTTGGGTATCATAGAAAAAGTCACTATTTTCATACTAAATCCATTGCATGAAAGCTGATTGATATCAGTTTGATACCTATGATTAAAACGTACCTAGTTCTATTGGTAGTCAAAATATCAATCAAAAACATTGAAGATAATATAATTGTTACCTAACAGCCGAACTTTTTAAGGCAACTGTAAATACAATAACAACCAAAATTATTTAACTATGTTTATTTGATTCTTCTGTCTTCAATAGCAAAAAAGAAATTTACAAAAATATTGACTCAAGTAAATGTATATTATTTGCAACAGAAATCTAAGAATATAAGTGATTATGAGATTTTTATTATCTAGAACACACACATGCGATTTTGTTTAGACTATGCAAAACAATAGAACAGACAGTCCTGTACTAAATGTGCCGTTTCAGACTTCGCTGCAACGATTTCTAGCTGACATATAGCAATCAGATGGAAGATTCATAATTTATTTTCCATAAGAAATCATGAAAACAAAAATAAAGGGCTTCCAATAGAATTGTTGTATCTCGGCTAAAAATCATCATAGAGAACTCGAAGATGTGTTATTTTTATAGAATGTTGTTTACTCTTTCGTTTTGTGTAATCTAAACAATATGATACTGCCATGTTCTAGGTGCTGAAAATATCAATTTTAAGTTTTCTTGAGATTTTATCTTCGGGAAGTTGGTAATTATTTTTATAATCTTAGATTTTTGTTTAAAACATTCTTTTCTATTCGATTAAGTAATTGGATTTGTTTTAGCAGTTAATACAGCAAAAAAAAACAAACAAACTGCGAATAAATCTCGTTACGTAATTTTAATGGCCACTGCATATATATGTGGCAGTCTCACATCATCTAATTGAATGAGTATCAATCATTCAACATGTATCGATATAAGTGGGTATTGTCCATTAATTGTTATCATATAATCTGAAGTTTTCCTTAATACAGTATTCTTACTTGTTCAAATACGTACGATTTTTACTTCCATAATCTAAATTTCGAATGAGTAACGCTACTTATCGAACTCTTGTTTATTAATTATAAAACAATTATTGGAAAACTCTTGTAGAGTTGAGTAATTTATTGAAGAAACTTGAAGGTTTAAATTTAAGTCTAAGAATTTCTGATTGAACAAACTTCAAATCATTCTAGAAGTTGATTTTAATTTGAACTTCTTAAAAATCAAGTTTAAAATAATAAATCTTTTCATAATCATTGCTAGACGAAATATTCTAGACAATGCATTTTCTTTTTCAAAAATCTACCGTCAACTTCGAAAAATATCGACTTGTATCGATTTTAAAATAATGTACAAACTTAANGCATATATATGTGGCAGTCTCACATCATCTAATTGAATGAGTATCAATCATTCAACATGTATCGATATAAGTGGGTATTGTCCATTAATTGTTATCATATAATCTGAAGTTTTCCTTAATACAGTATTCTTACTTGTTCAAATACGTACGATTTTTACTTCCATAATCTAAATTTCGAATGAGTAACGCTACTTATCGAGCTCTTGTTTATTAATTATAAACAATTATTGGAAAACTCTTGTAGAGTTGAGTAATTTATTGAAGAAACTTGAAGGTTTAAATTTAAGTCTAGGAATTTCTTATTGAACAAACTTCAAATCATTCTAGAAGTTGATTTTAATTTGAACTTCTTAAAAATCAAGTTTAAAATAATAAATCTTTTCATAATCATTGCTGGACAAAATATTCTAGAAAATGTATTTTTTTTTCAAAAATCTACCGTCAACTTCGAAAAATATCGACTTGTATCGATTTTAAAATAATGTACAAACTTAAAATAAAATATTGTTTTTCTTTACCCGTTCATCAACAATCTTAATTTCTTGTCGAACATCAAGAATTTCTCCTTGATATTGCATTGCGTCAGCTTCAAATTTCTTTCGTTCTGCAATTGCACGATTAGCTAATGATGTTGCTTCAGTTAATCGTTGTTCAGAATCATGTAATTCAAGTTCAGTTGTTTTACGAGCTTTTTCACTCTACCATAGAAAAAGAAAAAGAAATTACAATCAATTAGTTCAAATATAAAAATATTAGAATAACATACACGATCGAGTAAAACACGTAGTTCTTCGATTTCGACACGAATAAGACCTTAATGAGAAAAATTTTTTTCTCAATAATTTATTTGTTTGAAAAATAAAATATTACTAAATCGTTTTTCTGATGCATTGAGTAATTCTCTTGTTGCAGCATGTGCTGTTTGTTCTTCAATAAGACGATCTTGTGCTTCTTTAATATTAGCTTGAAGTTTTTTAAGATGATTTTCCATTTCACTTTTAATTTTTTTAAGTGAATCATAACGAATACGTATTTCATCAATTTCATTTTGTAATTTTGATTTAATACGACTAACTTCTGTTTTATAACGTACTTCAATTTCTTCCATTTGGGCTTGCATTTGTTCTAATTGTTTTCGTTGACTTGATCTAGAATTTTCGTATTAATAATTAAATATCAAAAAGAAAAGACTTTTTTTTACCGAAGTGCATCAAGTTCTTCTTCTTTTTCAGCTATCTTTCTTTCTAAATCAGTACGAAGTTTGTCAATAGAAGCATTCAATACGTTATATTTAGTTATTTCAATATGTAATTGTTCACGATAGTCTTCAATTGTTGATACTAATGATAATTTTTCGGCTTCAAGTTGTTTACGAACACGATCCATATCAACAAGACGTGTATTCATATCGGATATTTGATTTAATGCAACATCCATTTCGTCTGAAGAGAAGCAATTCAAATTAATATATTTATACTTAGAAACATCGAATTTTTCAGTCTGAAGAAAAATCAGCAAAATAAACTTAAATGTTTTTAAATACGATACAATAAGAAAATACATTTTATATTTTTGGTATTGTCAACGATATAAAACGACGAAAATTAGCGCTCTTAACTCGCTATTTTCCGTAATCTTATAGAATAGTGAAACTAGTCCAAGAAACATTGACCATCTGTTAGCAAAAAAAAAAAAACGACCCGTCAAACAAAATGATCGATTGTGGTTAAATAGAGAAATTCTGGTGAATGAAGTGTGGCCAGTACCTATCAAAAAACTTCAGAAAATAATAGAAACTGTTGAAGCAGGGATTCGTTGACCAGATTTTCTAGCTTCGATTAGAACAGAACATGAAAGAACAAAGTCGGTTATCGGATCCGATTACCGAATTCTTACTGTCAAGTTCTTGTCATATTCTGAAGTTTTTCGCTGAAATCATTTACTTGGAAAAAGTGAATGTAATAATACGGATTTGTATAGCTGTTTTCGACTTTTAACACTGTCAAGTGTATTCTTTTGACAATAATTGATGAGTGTTTCAATATTTTGAGAAAAAGTTCATTTCCAGACAATGATCAATATATTCTCATTTCGTTTTTTTTGTTTTTTGGAAATGTAATCAATTTGTCTTTCGGATCTGCTTTTGAATAGTTCTCCTCGTATAATATTTATCAGTCATATCGAACTTCTAACATCTCACTTATCTTCTTTATACTGTACATGAAGCAAGAAATAGAGATGTTTTTGTATACTTTGATAAATAAACTGATAATGTGTCAAAACATATCAGATATCAACAATGCTGTACTCAAGTTAATTTTGCAGAGTAGATATAGATCTTATTAATTTTTTTCTGAAAGCTATAGTTTAGCAATAAAGTTAATCACTCATAATCTCATATTTTTCTAGTACTATAGTTCCAGTGATTCTATCTTTTTTTTTTGCACTAGTTCTACTTTATTAAGATGTGAAACATCAGCAGATTTGATGATCTTTCGTGCAATTGCCATAAGATAGAGTGTGTACATTCTCGTAAACAACCACATCGCATTGAATAAGACTTTCCTATACGAAGATAAGAAACAAGCATTTATTTTTCACTGTAAATCTCCGTATCTCTTGACAAAATGGTTGTTTACGGCCTTGTTTATTTTAACCTGGGCATTCAGATTATTTTCATTAAAAAAAAATCAACTTGTAAAACAGGTTTTTTTTGCCGAAATGAAGCGATGCTAAGATGACTTTTTCAGTTGTCATGTGAATCCCTGATAAAAACAATGCTTTCCTTTTATTTCAAGAGGATTATTTCATAAGCTCAAGAGACGAACTCCATTCCTGAAAGCATCTTTAAAGAAAAACTAATTTGCAATGAAACACTGAATTATTTATCCATCAGTCATCATGTATTTTTTCCATAGTTCGAAAAATATGCTTTTAGCTATGGAATATTGAAATGCTAAAAATTCTTCATGTTCTAAAAAAAAAGTACTTTAAATTATTTAATACCTTGTAAACGACGTTTGTCTCGTGTAATGATATCAATCTGTTCAGTAAGTTGTTCATTTAAGCTTTTAACTTTGACTAATTCACTTTGATAATTGCGATTAGCTTGTAAAGCTGATTCAAGTTCAGCACTTAATTGACTTAAACGTTGACGAGATTCATCAACTTCTTTTTCTAATTGTTTATTACGACGAACAGCTTCATCGGCTCGTTTACGATACTAAATATAAAATTATTTCTTTTAATAAAAAAAAAAAAGAAAATTTTCTTTTCTTTGTTTTACTTTTTCAACTTCACCATTAAGTTTATCCAATTCAGCTTGAAGACGTTGTTTAGCTTTTTCAAGATTACTTGCTTTAGCAAGAACTTCAGTAAGTTGTTCTTGAACTTCACTAATACGTGCATTAAGTTTACGTCTAAATAAAGCGAGAAAAAAAAAACAACAAAGAAAATTATTTATTTTTAAGATAAAATTTTCTTGAGCAAAAAAGAAAATCTAACCTTTGATCTTCAAGTTCTTCATTTTTTCCTTCAATTTCTTTTTCTAATCTATCTCTTAAAAGTCTTGATTCTTCTTGAATTTTGATTAAAAGTTTTTGTAATTCAACTTTAGCTTCAATCTCATCATCAAGTTGTAATTTTGTTGACTCTAAATCCATTTGAAATGTTTTTACTGTTGATTGTAATGTTCTATTTGTCTATAATAAATAAATAAAAAATAGAAAAAGAAAATTAGAGATTTATTTCTTACAGCCATTTCAGATTCTAAATGAAGTCTTGCTTCTTCAAGATCACCTTGTGCTCGTTTATAAAATGTTTGTACTGATGTAAATTCAAATTCGATTGTTTCAATTCGTCGACTAAATGTTAAATTTTCTTCAACAAGACGAGCTTTGGCTCCATTAGCATCAGTTAATTGTCTAATAGCATCATCAACTTTGCCATTCATTTCAATTAATTTTCCTTCGAGTTCTTTACTTATTGATACAGCTTGACTTTTAGCTTTTGCTAATGATTCAACTTCATTTTTTAATTCTTCAATTTCAACGATAAATGTTTTGCTCTCCTTTTCATGTCTTTAGATACAAAAGAAAAAACAAAGAAATAAGATTAAAAGATTAGAATGATAAATCCAAACCTTGTTTTTCCTTTGCTTAATGCTTCAACTTGACTTGTTAATTCAGCTAATGCATCTTGAAAACGACGACGAAGACCATTTTGATTTTCATCATATTCAGTTGATTGAACTTCAATTTTTTGACGTAAATCATGAATTTCTTGTTTTAAACTAAAATTTAATCATTTTATTAATAATAAAAGAAACATTTATCTCCAACAAACCGTTTATTATTTTCAAATTCCCTATCACGTGCATTTGTAATTTCATCTAATTGTTGTTCGATTTCATCAAAATCAATACGTAAATTTGTTAATTCTTTTTCTTGACGATATCGAACATCACGTTCAGTTTTTAATTCTTCTTCAAGATCTCGTAAACGATTCTAGAAGATTTTATTTACGAAGATTAATAAAACAAATAATAATTTTCAACTTACCGCTAAAATAACTTCGGTCATCTTTGATTACCTAGGAAAAAAACAAGGAAAGAGATAAAACCAACGAAAAAGAAAATCTTATAGAAAAGTATACATCTGACAAGCTTTAAAAGAAGTATACGCATTCCTTTCGCGACTATTTTGTTCTATGGAATGCTGCTCAAAAGCAATTATGCAAATCCAATATTTTTCCTTCAACTGCCACTATCCGTAAGTCAGAGTAGAAAGTCGATCTGACTCAAACTTCTCTCGCTTAATCGTTTGAACTTCTCATACACATTGACTAATCGTATGCTAACCGCAAGACTTGGTGTACATGATAAGGAACTCGACATTCTATCAGACGGATGATCGAAGGTAAGTATTCGTTAATGACTTTCCAAGATCATTGCATGACCTCTATTAATGCTGAAGCTCGAACAATGTAATTAGAGAGTATGCATAGAACATCATAACAACCGAATAATAGCGACTCTCTAGCTTTAAAGACAATTGCTTATCTATTATACCGAATATAGAATCGGCTTTGTGTAGAGCTGTTTGTGGTCTACTACTAGAATTCCTCATCTGTGTCATTACTCGTAAATATCTCTCTTAAGATAAAAATGAATTTTATTGAAAGAAATCTATCGATGATATGGATTTAATAATGAGAGAAAAATTAAGCTCGTACGATTTCATAATTTTTGTTTTCGATTTATGAAACATAAATTAAGAAAATATTTCGTACGTAAATACTAAATGCATATGAAGAAATATCCATAATTATAAGATACCGTTTAATATTATAAAATGAAATAATTGAAATTTGTAGAATTTGCTGAGAAAAAAAAAATGACAAAAGACATCATTATTGCTAACATATAGACTCATTCTCATATTCCTATATGACATGTTAAAAAAAACTTTTTCAACTACTAAGTAATGAATATGAAACTATGAGTGTCTTTCAATGATTAGAAAGCCGTAATTAAATGAAAAATCATGATACAATCGTTCATTTTCTTTTCATTACTTGTTGATTGTATTAAATACCTTATATAGTCAAACGACAAATGTTGTTGTTGTTGTACGACGAGAAAGCCAAAGAACAACTATTTTAGTGTATCTTCCTATCGTTATCGTCAAGAAGAAAAAGAAAAAAACAGCCTATCCTAAATACATCGTTTGTACCATATACATATATAGTTCTTTTTCTCGTTTGGTAAAAACGTACTGATGATCTAATGTAGCATAGAGCAAATAGAGTGTTATCAATAACGGAGGAGGTTTTTCTTTTTCTATTCCAAGCAAACATGTTGTTTCTGCAACTCATCATTGTCATAAACAACAACAACAAGGCGTTATTGCGGGCCATTTATTCTATAGAGAAAAAACACAAAAAAAGGTCTAAGTAGTAATCCATGACCTTGAGAATCATTGTATTTATGAAATAAATAAAAAAAATCGTTCCAAAAAAGAAAAAGACATGATAAATAAATTTTTGTTTTTTTATTTCTTCATTAGTCAATATCAAAAACTGGATAAATTTCTCGTTCATCTTCATTTGTATCTATATCATGATCGAAAGGTTCATTAGAAGCTTGAACATCATTGGATCCAGATAAATCATTCGATGTTTGACTTGATACAGCTTCATAATAATTTTCATTAGTTTCATCTTTTTTTGGTTCGATCAGTTTCTTATTATTAGTTTTTTCCTAAATAGTATACGATGCAAAAAGTCGATACCTATTTTTGTTCGATAGAAAACTACTAAAAGAATTTGTTTTTTTACGAAAATATAGACTTTTTTTTTTCTCTTTCGAATATTACATTATCTATTTTTAAAATACATTTATCAACGAAACGATGCAACAGAAAAGAAAAATAGCCATTAAAAAAATCTACACTCCTTCTGTAAAAAAAAAACAGGACAAGATGTCGATCCTAATATATCTTCGTCGATAAATATGTTCTGAGAGAAGAATTTTTTATCAGCCGATAGGAAATTTTCTTCTCTTTCGGACCATATATGATGTATATTTGTCACATAATCATAAATAAAATGAGACAAGAAAAAAGACCTACTCTCATGCAATCAATTTGTAACGTATAGATGAATTCTTCAACAGCATCATGTGGATAAAAGTTAATTATAATTAATTGTCACTTTAGCTGATGCTTTTAACAAATTCATAAAAATCGAAATAACTACTTTTTTACAAGATCTTTGTAATGAATTTATAAAACTTTAATTAATTGTAGTTTAATAAGATGTCTTTTACTATTCCATATAAAAATTGCCAATATATTGCGCGCGTGTTTCTCTTTTTTTTGTACTCATCTTATTTCATTTATGAATATGTGACAGATATAAATCGTACATTGTTCGAAAGAGTGAAAAGTTTTCTATTGACTGGTACGAAAAAACCATGTTAATTTCAAAACGTATTTATCAACAGAGAGATATAACGATTGATATTTTGTAGCGTTTTCTTGAATCTTACAAATAGTGTAGATTTGTTAAAAGACAGCTTTTCTTTTCTGTTGCGATACTTCATTAATAAATGTGTTATAAAAAAAATATACGACTCGAAACAGAAGAAAAAATGCGATATATTCGTCGAAAAAAGTAGTCTTTCAATAGTCTTTTATCGAAAATAAATAGAAATAGATTTATTTGTGCCATTACTTTGATATTGGATGTTTATAAAAAAAAAACCAAATATTTTTCATTATTTATTTGAAACTTACCTTCTGAAGTGTTGCATAAGCACTATCAATTGAGTCGGATCGTAATTGCCGACCTGATAAAAATGAATTATTACTTGTTAAAGTTTCTCTTATTTCTTGAATGTTGTTTTTATGTTTCGTGACGGATGACTTTATCTTTGATGAACTCGGTTCTGCTATACTATCATAAATAAGTGTAGCACCACCACCAATTAATTGTTTAACGACAGATGTTGTTGAAACTGGTGGATAAGTATATTTTGGATAACTAATAGGTGGATTTATTTTCCTTCGATAAGTACGGCCATTATTTATTGCTTTGTGAGTATTCAATGACTCAGTACTAGCTGATTTTGTTTTTAAAGTTGTTATTTCAGCTAATTAAATACATTATTTTTGATATGAAAAAGAAATAATGTCTTACGCGTTGGACGAATAGGTAACACAGCACGTGGTTGTTGGATTAAACGTTCACCAGTAACAGCAGTTTTTCCTCGATAATTTAGACTAGTTACCTATTTGATATGGATAAATAGAAATATAATTTAATATTTTATTGTTGTCATTTACTCGACGCAGTTTTGAAAGATTATCAGATGAAAATTGTGTACGGTTTCCAAGACTAATAATCCGTGCACTATCAACTGTCATTTGATCAAATTTTTGTTTTAGTTGTTTAACAAGTGGATTAGTTGGTCGATCATTAGCAGTTGCATTTGACAATTGTGACGAAAAATATGAGTGAAACTTTATGAAAGAAAAAAAAGAATCATAAAAATGAGTTTAAAAATTTTATTTACATCATTAGTATTTGAATTGGGTCCTTGAAAGACAATATTGGTTGTATGTCGTCGTAACATGTCACGTTTCTTTAATAACAATAAAATACATTATCAAGAATACTTTATGAAGATTTTGTCTTTTAATTTACTTGACGATCAGGACCAACTGTACCATCAAGTAGTTGAGGTAAACGTATTTCCCATTTTGATTTACTTGTATTTAAAGCTATTTGTGGTTGATAAATAGGTGCATAAGATTTTGCAACTAAATAACTAAATAGATTAATAATTACTGAAAATATTTAATTGATATTACTCTTAGGTTTTGCAATAGATGGTTGTCGATCAACATAAAACGGTGTTTTTGGAAGTAATCTTCGATCTTCATCATCGGATTGTAAAGAATGAAGACTTGTCTCATAAAGTGTTTTCCAATCTTTAAAAAAGATAAATAGAAGAAACTAATAAGTTTTTAAAATCTTATTTATTTAATTAATTTACTCGCAAGTGAATCAGTCGAACGATCATTTCCGATATTGTCTTGTTTATCATTATTAATTGCAGTCTTTTTTGTCAGAAATGTAGTAGGTAATGATAAAACTGGTAATTCATCTTCATCATGGTCATCATAATAATCATAATCCATTAAAAATATTCTTTTACTTGAAGTCTACTTTTGTGTTGATACGAAATGAAACTCAATGTATGCCGATAAAGTTCTTTGCCTGCTAGTAGAAAAGAATCACAAGATATTAAATATAGAGAGTGTAATTATCTTCTCGTTGTGAGATAAAGATAAAAATGTGACTTGAATCTTATTCTTCGGTAAATAAATATGCATACAACATTAAATTTTGTAGAACAAACACAGAATTCAGAACGTGAAAACAAACCGAACTTCGTTGTTTGAAGTTCGATGTAAAAATTAAAACAAAGTCTTATATTTTGATATTATTTCAGTTGCATTCAATATCGAGCTACAACAACACGAATTTTCGCAAGGAACTTACTGGATTTATAATTAAATGAGAGTTTCGTATTCATATGATTTATTTATTTTTAATAACAACATTTTATGTAAAGATATATGAAGTAGACACGTCTATTATCTCATAGAATAATTCTTTAGAATTTCCGAAGACATCATCTATACTAATAGGTTCTTTTTTTAATCTGTAAACTTGTATCCAAATTATGTTCCGTTTTTAGTAATGAGAGTGCAGAAAGGACTTGCGTTCCTGAAAATGATAATCCATTTCAAAATATGTTTTCTACATTGCTAAAAGTTGTGAAACTTTTGAATGATTGTTATCAGAAGTGCACCGAGCTTCTCTGCGCTCTTACTCATACTTACGTGTTTTCCATGCCTTGTCCTTGTTTTCTTTTTGATTTGGTGATTACCTTTTGAAGATGCAGCACCGGTTCTTTGATGGTCTCTCCACACGTCTCGAACCATGAAATTGCCTATTTAAGCATCTACATATTAATGAAACAGGCTATACAGACGTCACCCAAGTCATTAATGCTAAAGATTAAGCGACCCTTCCATTATTGATACTTTATTTACTAAAATTACGTGATTATATGATTTATATGAATTTAACATTATTTCATAAAACTAGACAAAAGACTTTCAAGTCGAGAAACTTGCATCCATAGATGGTTTCTCGACATTTTTGTGTTAGAAGAAGCCTATTATGCAAAAAAAAATTTTTTTTTTATAAGGCTTCACTGAACTCACTAACAATCAATTATCACAAGCAGAGAACAATTCGTTTCAAAATGTTGCAAAATAATTCATAGACACGAGTTTCTCGACTCTGATAACTTTTAGTCAAGCATTGTCAAATACTGCCATTTCTACTAAATACTCTCTTCTTCGGAAAAAAAAATTACAACAGAAAATCACTATCACTCTTTCAGCTCTACTCATATATATTCATCTCTAATCTAGCATGCCTACATCCTAAGACCTATGAAATTTTGCTTATACTCCTGTATCAATATCATTATCTTTGTATCCATCGACTTACACACGCATATTTACATGTGTGCAGTGCGTTTGTTTTATGCAGTATCAAACAATGTATTTTGGTTTGAATCAACATTTCATGCTCTATATAGTGCGAGAAAAAGTCATTGACTTAAACGGCTACTTACGGACATACACAAAATAAAAAACTATGATACTTTAATAATTCGCTCTTAGTTGGCGTAGATGGCGTCTCAAAGTCTTATCCATATGATTTTTTACAACCGCCGCATTACTGCGATGTTCATGAACGGCGATTTTAACCATCATTGTTTACAATCGTCATAAAACATCGTAAAGGTTCGTTTATAATTGCTGCAAATAATTACTTTAAAAGGTTTTTATTCTTCATCGTAGTTGATTGACTCATGACTTTGTGTGATTATGAGCGATCGATCTGAGTATTTCATTCACGAATGGTGCTAAATTATCAGTCACTTGGAGTGCGATGAAAACTTCTTTTTCCCTAGTGCTATTATGCGAAGCTTGTCAACCACATTAGATTACTATATTACAATATATTAAAAGCATAATTCAAGAGAAAAAATCAAAATCTGATTCCGAAGTCTCAAAGTCTCTATGGGCTGCATTTACTTTTTGATGTTAATACATGTCTATAGGAATTATCGGCTCTTATAACGTCAGATATGCATAGATGTTGCATTATCTGCCAAGTTAGCATAAAGATCCTATCCGTTGTTAGGATTGATTGTATTTTGAAGATTTTATGTATGCTTTTTTTCCGAAACTTGTTTACAGTCATAGTGAAGGAAACAATATTATAATACAATAACAAAATTTACTTAATAAAAATACTAACTCGAACCCTCAAGAAAGAAATTAAATAATACTAGCTGTATTTAAACAATATTGTTACATAAAGTAAATTATACAAAGCGAATGAATAGACAAATGCTAAAGAATAAAAAGTCATAAGTTATAAGCCAGACAGTCTAGGTGTTTAGAAATAGTCAGTCGTGGATGCGCAATTAAATGGTGGAAACGTACGTTATAATTCAAATATTTTTCATTTGGTTAAGGTTTTTCACCAGAATTAAGTTTCACCAATTGACAATCAATGAAATGTTCTTTATTTTTCAACTTTTCGATAAAAACTCACTAAGTAGGGTGCTGGCATGGAATACGTTGAGCTTAAACGACGATGCCAAGCTTCAACTGAATTGTTAGTACATATTAAAAGATCAGCTATCTTTTGACTCGTATTCCAGAATTCGATATCAAACTTTGGCTTTAATCACCTTTGTGAACGATTTCTTCCTAGATAGGAATCTTCAAAATAATCTCGTGAAGGCTACAATATTTGTGGTAATGAATGAGAGGTGTCACACATCCAAGAAATCGGGCATATTGGAGAAGTGCAGGGAGATGTCAAACTATCTATTCACAGAGAATTACATTATGGATGTGGCTGTGTGTGTTCGTGTTTTCTCCTTCACCCACACTCGTAAGATATGGGTGTGTGTATTCGTGTTTTCTCCTTCACCCACACTCGTAAGATATGGGTGTGTGTATTCGTGTTTTCTCCCTCACCCACACTCCTGAGACATAGCTGTGTGTGTTCGTGCTTCCTATCTTATCGTAGCGGGAGAGATATGCGTAGAGATGCCGCATCTCCAAGCACATCTCCCCACAAGATGCGGCATCTCTCCAGGTGACACGCTATCTATGGGAGATGTGGCATCTCCCGCATCTCTCTACACTTTTCCAGTATCCCCAATTTCCTGGACATGTGACACTTCTGTAATGAATTATGAAGATCGTGAAAACCTTGACTAATATCATTTGGATGAAGAAAAGCAAGAGCAGCAATTTTATTAACATGATGAGCAAAAACAGAATTTCGTTCATCGTGTATCTTTGAACCTATTTCTTGCAGATAAAAATTAAGATTCATTGTTTCATTTATAAATCAAACTTAATTATTCACTTGAACTTTACATTGAGTATTATTTTGTAAGTGAAAATACAAGCAGAAATTTCAGATAGATTTATTGTTGTAAATTTACCACCAAATGCATTTACTCTGGATCTCTCAAAACCTATCATGATGAATTTCAGGTGCCACAAAAGACAAAGTTCTAACAGTTTATGAATTAGATATTGATATGTTTGCTGATCCTTATTTGGGGATAATATGAATGCAACTAATATCCGGTTCAAAATAAAAGAGACCTTAGTGTTTTTTGAATAACTCTTGAACAGAAGAAGATAGAGAGCTGCGATTTTCACCATTCGAAAGAGAAATGTTGGGGCTATCGATCGGTCTGAAATTTTATTGGCCGAGTAATTGACCAATCAGATGAATTCCTCA